CATCCCTGGGTCGTATGGGTTGGCCTGGGGCCTACACGCATATGTACATGCGTTTAGGCCGCAGATACATTGGCGTGCGGGCCTGCACGCCAACTGCAGGCCGATCTCCCCTGCAGGCGATTGGCGTGCGGGGCCACACGCCAAACTTCTTTGGCGTGCAGGCCCGCACACCAATCTGCGCCTGGCGTGCAGATTGGCGTGCGCCAAGGGGGTTGGCGTGCGGTTATCAACCCCCCTCATGTAAATTTTTACAGGATTAAATTTCATTATTTTTTGAAAATGGATGGTTATATCAACTTTGCACACAAATAAAACTGGTATACGGTACAAATTATCATAATTTGTATAATTTAATTATGCAATAAATGGGGTACAATTTCTTGTCAGAATAAATGATACCATAAGCTTTGACACTACTCAAAGTGTAGTAAATAAATTCAAAATTTCAAAAAATGATGGAAATTAAGCTGGCAAAATTAATTAAAATAAATTAAGGGAAAAAATTTACAATGTCAAAAAATAATGAAAATTAGTTATTAATCTGTCAAAAATTAATTGAAAAAATGTGTCTAATTGCATTATTCAAAAAGAACCATTAATTTTTATGTAAAATGCTTTTTACCATTAAATTCTACGCACTTCAAAACATAAGAAATAAATTTAAAATTTCAAAAAATAATAAAAAACAAGCAGTAAACAATTAATTAAAAAATGTGTCTGCTGCGCAGTGCGCGCAGCAAAAACCATGTTTTTTTGTTAAGGCCCCATTTTTTCTTTTATTTTTCCTTTTGTTTCTCACAGCCTGTGGCCCTCCCAAGGCCTCCTGTATGGGCGGATATCCCTTGGGATACCCGGATATCCGCCAGGATTCCAGGGGGAAGGGGGCATCTGCACCCGCTGGCGGGTATCCGTTGGCACTGGCGGGTATCCGCCAGCGGATAACAACTATCCGCAACGGATTATCTGCGACCATCTCTAGTACTTGTCAGTAATTTTATATCACACATCATAATCCAGATAATGAACATCCCAAACTGAACAAACTACCATCAATAATGACAAAATACAGGAAGCTTCCCCCCATACCCCACATGGCATCATTGATATGTGGAATCCATCTGGGAAGTTTCCAGAGGTCAATATAATGTTCATATTAATCGCTTCCAAAAAAATGGTGTTCTACATCTCAATGGTATGACAATCCTTGTCAAAACTTTCACATATGGATATGTACCAGCCCAGGTGTGTTCATCACAAAAGAAAAGCTTCTTTCTGTAAATATAATTCAGAGCTGACAAGGATGCCCTTGTCCAAAAAATCCCATACATCTAGAGCATCATATGCAGTTTGAATGTCCAGCATAACTGCTTTGAATCACTATGCTCAGTAGGAAGAAGAACCATGCCACTCACTGGAAGACAAGAAGGCAACACCATCAGTCATCATATACAACACAGAGACACCAATAGTTACCTGTTGAACAAATTCTCCCATCATGCCCCAATCAATCACGAAAATCACTCAGACATGAAAACTATTCCAATCCCAACAGACATGATGCAAGCAGCAATGGAACAAGGCCTTTATGTCTGGGAAAGAGAGAAAAATACCAACAATCAAGATGCAACCATGCAAACCACAACTATGCCACCTCAGTAAGCATTTAAACCAGGTATTTAATCTCAATTTAATGATACATTTAAGCATGTGGGTTCATTCAATTTCTCTTATTATTTGGGTGGTTCTTGTGGAAAATCTCATAATAGTATGCATCTGTTAGCATATAAGATCAATTTAATCCTCTTGGCTGTTTTTTGGGTCTTTGGTTGAACTATTGAAAATATCTTGTCCTTGCAATAAGGTTATCCATATGTGGTATATCAAATTACATCCATGTGCCAAGTGCCTTTGGAGTTTACCAACTTGATATCATACACAACATGGTAGTTTTAGGTGCACTAATTATAGATGTAAGAAAGTATTTCCACTTATTCCCATTGTCTCATTCTCAGTTTTCCAATTTGTCAAGAAACAGAAAAAACAAGTTTATCAGATTGGAAAAATAAGAAAAAAAGGAGGTAGAAAAATAAGAAAAAAAAGGAGGTAGTATAGTATTTCCATATATTTAATCCCAACTTCTTATTCCTAGTGTTCCCATAAGGTTGATAGAAGAAAATTTCAAGAGGAAACAATAAATCAATCACAATATTAGTGGATGATATGCTTGCTGATTGAAGAGTGTATCTCATGTATAATTGGTCAGCAATAACTGAAAAAAGCCAATTAATTAGACTGCCGGTCCAAACCTTTCTTCAACCTGCCTAACAGTTGCAACGACACCAGCCACTATCAAACGAGCTGCACCCCGGCGAAATCCAGCTTTGACGAGGTCAGCTTCAGTCATTCCTTTGAAGGCCGACCAGTGATAGAAGTCGTTGTTGTTGATGACCGACCGGCGACAAAGTGTGTTTGTCATCCGGCCGCAGGTGACAAATAAATAAAAACTCAAACATGCTGATATCAACACTAGCTGAGTAGAGACGTTGACGCTTAGCAGGTGGTTGGTGATCAGAGGCTTCAGATTCATCATTGACAGCTTCCTCATTGGTTGCACATTATAGTGGTGTGAGTGGTGTGGATGAAAT